CTACTACTCATCATCATACTACTACTACTACTACTACTACTTCTGCTTCTGCTTCTGCTTTTGTTTGTCTTCCGCAACCCATTTGCCAGCGGAAAACAACAATGCATGCACTGCAAGGTGCAAGGGCCGTAATGCACCCCAAGTGCTATGAATCCGTTACGAGGCGACATTGACAGCAACTAGATACTGCATGTTTCAAGATGGCACCTTTCCAAGTTCGGAAATTCGTCCCAATCCAAGTTATGTGCGGGACTTCTCCAGTACACGCAGCAACTCCCATCCAGGGTGATTCACGGGATGTTATCTTTTAGTCATTAGTCACTGTACCAAGGAGCAAGGTGGTTTGAGATCAAGCCGTTTAGTGGTCGTGAACCAATGATAAGAAGCAGTCTAGTGCCGCCTGTGACCAACACAGTCTCAGTTCTTGTAAACGTTCGGCAGCTTTGGAAGTTTTGTGCATGCTTCCAAGCAGCAGTATTGTTAACGACTGAGTCACGCATGAAGCAGTCAGAATGTGCAATGTGCTTGCAGCGTTTCCATGGAAGCGTTGCGTGCACATCGTGTGGTTCTGCTTGGGCCTCTGCCTGGCCTTCGTCATCATCTGGGCATTGCAAGCAAATTCCTGCAAAGACGATTGCTTGCCATATAAGTCGGTCCGGGCAAAGACGTGCGAAGGGTTTGTGAAAAGCAGCGGTGCAGTAAACACGTCTATGGGCTCTCCAAGATTCATGGTAGTGTTGGGTGCGCTGGCAGGAGCCTCAGTTGGCGCACTGCTGGTCGGTATTGTTTCAGTTATTGCTGTCCACCGGCAGCAGTTCGCTTACAGCAGCAAGTACCGGAGATTGTTGCGAGGAGCTCTCCAACATCAGATGCGCTGTCATTCTTCAATACCAGAGAATCCACGATATTGGAAATCCCAGCGTTGGCAGGCGCACACTTGCAGCTGGAAAGACCTGAAGAGAATAGCATGCTTGAGTTTGGAGATGGTGAACATCAGTGGAGTGGGCCTATCCCTGTATGTCAGTACCTTGTCCCTATTCCTATTCACGGCTGGTCTCTTCCGTGTTGGAAATAATGCTTCGCTGACGATATACCGACTTGTTTGGGGGGAGTCGGGGAAGTGGTGCCAAGATGCTGGTTTTGATTCAGACGGCGCTGAAATTTGGCAACAACTAGCAGAAGAAAGGGCACTGATTCTTCTGCGGCTATACATTGTGCTTATCTTGCTGTACTTGTACCATGTGTACAAGCAAGGGAAGTTGCGAGACAGCTTCGACAAGACCCATGCCGAAATGTCTGATTATGCGTTCTTGGCTTCGGGCTTCCCACCTTCAGCAACAGAACATGAAATCACTGCTTACCTTCGCAGATCCCTGTGCCATTTGCAGTTAACTGATTATGGCGGCTCGCAATGGCAGCCTGAGATTGTCGGAGTTTCGGTCGGTTACGATTTTGCTCGCCATGCGGAACTCATACAGCGCTTGGTTGACGAGCATCTCATCGACGTAGCATTCACCTTGGAGCAGCGAAATCGTACCGATTCTGACTATTCTGACAGTGATGGCTCATCAGCTTCAGATTCAGAGAGTTTTTATGTTTCGAGGTCTTTTGCGAGTCAGCGTGCGGCTGCAGCTGAATCCAGCGACGGCTGCCAGGACTCAGACGACGTGCTACAAGTATTGCAAGTGTTGGAGAACTCGGGGACGGTTATAGTAATCTGTCGATGGCCATGTGACTTTGCTGAGGCGCTCGAGCACGTACAGCAGCAGCTAGATCTAGATGAGAACTTATGGGAAGGATCACGCATAACTGCATCGCCAATTCCATGTGAGCCGACTTCTATCAACTGGGCAAATTTTGCGGTTGGGCTTTTTCAGAGCCAGTGGCAGCAAAGATTAGGCATCAGGAAGTGGCTAACATCCTGCAGCACTCGCCAGCAAAGACTGCTCCTGGCCAACGCGATGATCGTTGGTGCATTTCTGTCAATGCTGGCCTTCTATACATTCCTCTACCAGCATGTGTATGCCAGCATCGGCTCTCCGGACAAGCTGCTGGTTTATGTCGTGACGTTGAGCTGTGCATTGGGCAACGTGTTGCTAAATCAGGTTGTTTGGTTCGCATCACAACAGGCTGGATTTAGACTCAAGTCGAGTTGCGATTCCTTTGTCCTCATCTGGTACACGATTGTGATCCTCACGAACATGTGCTTCAATTTCTTGGTAATTTGCCTGTCGGCCGGGGAGAGGCCAGAGAACGAATTCGCAACTTTGGAGTACGAGCAACAGCTAGCGGATCGCTTGGTGGCTTTCCTCAGAGGCTCACTTCTTACATATGCTGTCTGGCCATTGTATTATCCCTTGAAGTGGGTTTCAGGGATCCTGCAGCTGCTTTATCTTCACCTGTTCCGAGATCGGCTGGCCTTGACCGATGATCGCTGCAAGTGGAAAGCGGAACATGCTATGGAACCGCCTGAGTGGTACATGCAATACGACTATGCAGGCTTGACTGTGCTCAAAACCACGTCCTTCATGTGTTTGTTTCTCTTTGGTGACGGTGTTCAAAAGCTTTTCACATTTGACATCCTCTGGGTCCTATGCACCTACTTCTTGAACAAGTATATCTATTTGGCGCTTAGCAAGGAAACCTATTACACCAATCGCATGCTGGACACGACAGCACTGCAGTCGTCTTCCATGGCTCTCGGCGTCCTCGCTGCTTGTGTTTGTCACTGGGGCCATCGTGCCAACCCCCATCGCTCAGAGTATGTGATCTCTGTGGTTCTGTTGTCATGTTTGTATCTCTGGGCGTTTGATGCTATTCTCAGGTCTGCGCAGGACCGAAGAAGTCAATCCGAAAGGGTGTGGTACGACTCGCTGCCCTATGAAGAGATTCAGCGGCTTTACCCTTTCAACTGGTGGAATGTGAACCCTGCCCACATGATGCGGTTATTGCACTTGTCCCCTTTGTCCAGCCACCAAAGCCTGCCTGCACACCAGCGAGTGGTTTGGCAGCATGGCAAAAGCTATTTGCAACCTGATCTGGTATTGGATTTCATCAACACGGAGAGCCGGGACAATGACGAAGGAGAGATGGAGATGGAGCCGCCGGAGCCGCCGGAGCCGCCCTTTCCCTTTCCAGCCCCTCCTACGGTCACAGTGACGCATCCGCACACAGAGCCTCGGCCTCAGCTGGGCTCCGGGCGAGATGGTCACGCTCAAAGCACGTGGCCAGCGGCCCGTTCTGTACCTACGGGGCCGACACAGCACCACGAAGGAGCACTGCAGCTTCCTGGCCAGTCCTTTTTCTCGAGGTTTCTCCTGACATGTGTTTCCTTAAACTCAAACTCGCGTTCGTTTTATTTCACGCCCCTTCGCAAACAATCACTGGCGCTGAGGCCTGCCCGCACAATCTGAGCTGCCCAAGGCCGATGTGCTGCTGGACATCTCGGAGCTTGAGGTCGCAAGATCATGGCCGGGAAGAGTTTGAGGGTCGTCCGGAGAAGATCATTCCCCTTCACATCGCCGGCGGCGACGACATCGAAATCAGCTACACCGCAGTTGGCAGTCTCATAAACGCACTCTGAGTCTCGGTGATTCGCTGGAGCTCAAAGCACCCAAGGTTGGATAGCAAAGCGCTGTTCAGTTCCCAGTGTCAAAGCACATCTGCCCATATGCCAGAATCAACCCAGAAGTCGCCAAAGCGTTTGTTCATGAGACAGTGTGCCTCCGTCGTACAAAGCACCAGCTGTGCATGGCAGTATTGGCTCAAGGAGGTGTGTGGAAGCAACTCCCGGATGCATGAGAGGTGGCAGGTTTGAGTCAGCGGGCCTCTGATGGTGGCTGACTTCGGAATGTGAAGGTCAGGAAGGAGTGTTGCATTGGCCTGGAAGGTCTCAGCCTCGCTGTGCCGGTGAAGGGCCACAGCCTGTACCGGATGATCTCCAATTCGAGTGTCGGTGGCGCCTATGGCGAAAGGTCGTGAAAATGATCAGCTGAGAGAGGCTGCAGGCAACCGCTGCAATGCCAAACATCCGCAAACCAGAGTGTGACAGTCGAACATACAGTGCGTTTGAGCTTCCCAATGGACTGCGAGTCATCGTTGCAAGTGATCCGGACAAGTCTGTGGCGGCAGCAGCGGCTCTGTGCGTTCTGGCCGGCAGCCTCCACGAGCCCAAGGAGATCCCCGGCCTGGGCCCCAGGGACTCCAGGACTCCCTAAGTACTTAATATAATATAATATAATATATTA